AAACATTTTAAGATTTTGTGGGGGTTGATTGACCACACTAAACAGTGCTCGGGGTTTACTTTTGGCTCTGCCAAATGTAATCAGGAATTATTCCTGGTGGTACTTAGGAGACCATCTGAAATGCTGAGAATTGAACCCAGGTTGTCCATGTGCCAGGCAAGTGCCCTGACCACTTTGCTATTTCTCTGTCCCCTAAGACTTTTTTATTGAGGAATTATAGTTTAAAATAGTATTGATATTATTTTTTTGTATTTTCTGCACTGCTACCGCATGCCTACCATCAAAGTATCAATTTCCCTCTACCATTATCCCAAGGTCCCTCTCCATACCCCAACCCCCATAGCATACTCAGATTACAGTTCTATGGACAACACATCAGGATTTGTTTCTAATACCTACTTTCATTTTTTTATACTTTATACTCCAAAACTCATCTGGGCAAAATCATCTGGGTTTTTTGTCTTTTCCTTTCTTACTCATTTAACTTAACACAACACCCTCTAATTCATACAAGTTGTGCAAAGTGCAAGATTTCCTGTATTCTCATAGTTGAATAGTATTCATATATATGCATATATAAAAAAACAAAATTCTTTTCTTTATGGGTTGGGTGGGACACACCAGGTTGTGCTTCATGGGGATGGACAGATAGTACAATGAGTTGGGTGCTTTCCATGCACACAGCTGATGTAGGTTTGATTTCTGGCATCCCAAATAGGCCCCTGAGCACATCCAGGAGCATTTCCTGAGTGCAAAGCCAGGTATAAATCCTGAGCATCGTCGGGTGTGGCCCTGAAACAAACAAAAATATCTGGTGGTGCTTCAGAGATCAGACTAGTGGTTCTCAGGGGTCCAAATGCAATGCCAAGAATCAGAGGTCAATTATATGCAAGGCAAGAACCTTAATCCCTGTTAAGGTTCCATTTCCATAAATTCTATATCCACTCTTCTGTTGTGGGCACAAATTGTTTTCAGACCATAGTTATTGTAAATAATGCATAGGTGAACACAGGCGAGCATATGTCCTTTCAGATTAATATTTTTTGTGTTCTTGGGGAGGATAGGTGTTCATGAGTGGAATTCAGGTTATATGGAAGTTCTATTCTTAAGTTTTTGAAAAGTCACCAAATCATTTTCCCAAGAGGCTGAAAGAGCAATGAGGCTATCAGCAGTGAATAAGAGTTCCTTTTACACCACTTTCCCACCAATGCTTAACTGTTCCCAAAATTTTTACATAGATCATTCACTAGTGTGAAATGATACATCACTGTCATTTTTATTTTCATTCCTATGATGATGAACATTTTTCATATGCCTGCTGGCCATCTTTATGTCATCTCTGAGGAAATCTTTGCATCTCCTTTCTTTACATTTTGATGTGATTGTTTTTTTGGTTATTGAGCTTTGAGAGTGTTTTATAGATAGTGAATATTAACTCTTTGGTTGAAGTATGATGTGAATATCTTTCCCGATCAGTGGGGTTTCTTTTAATTTTAAGCCTTATTTCTTTCACAGTGCAGAAAGTTTTTATGGTCCTATTTATTTCTGCTATTGTCTTCCTTGCCAGGGGGGATCATATCATTAACCAATCATCTAAGTTCCTGACTATGTATTTATACCTTAGTTGTCATAAATTTTATAAATTTAAAAATTAAATCTTTTTAAATTTATCTTAATAAATTTTATTAATTGTATTCACGGTCACGGTCACGGTCCTCCCGTTGTTTATTAATTGCATTATGAATTTTTAATTATAGTATTATCTTTTGTACTTAATCTATAATTCCTCAATGTATACTCTAGATACACTGTTTCAAATTGGGGGTGTAGAGGTTGGGTTATACCCATTAGTGCTCAGAAACTACTCCTAGTGTTCAGGGTAACATGAGCTGTCAGGGCTTGAAACAGTTAACTGAGATTCAACAGGATAGGATCCTCAGACTTCTTGAGCTCTGCTTGGGAAATGTGCTCCTTTAGCCCTCAAAATAGTAACCATCTTAAAATGTGAGAGATAACATCATTGTGGCTTTAATTTGCATTTCCCTAATTATTGGTAATGATAAACATTTGCTCGAGGTAAGGTAAAGGCCCTCCCGTTGATCATCGATTTGCTCGAGCGGGCCCAGTAACGTCTCCATTGGAGACTTTGTTGTTACTGTGTCTGACATATTGAATACGTCACGGGGAGCTTGCCAGGCTCTGCCGTGCGGGTGAGATACTCTCGGTACCTTGCCAGGATCTCGGAGAGGGGGAGGAATCGAACTCAGGTCGGCCATGTTGGCTGCGTGCAAGGCAAACGCCCTACCGCTGTGCTATCACATTTGTATTATTTTATATTCCACAAATGAGTGCAGTCATTCTATATTTGTCCCTCTCTGACTCATTTCACTTAGCATGATACTCTCCATGTCCATCCACTTATAAGCAAATTTCTTGAGTTCATTGTTTCTAATACTTTCGTAGTATTCCATTGTGTAGATGTATCAAAGTTTCTTTAACCAATCTTCTGTTCTAGGGCACTCGGGTTGTTTTGCAGATTCTGGCTATTGCAAATAATGCTGCAATAAACATACAGGTGCAGATGTCATTTCTACTGTGCATTTTTGCACCCACGGGATATATTACCAAAAGTGATATTGCTGGATCAAATAGAAGTTCAATTTCTACTTTTTGAGGAATGCCCATATTGTTTTCCTAAAAGACTGAACCAGTCAATCCTACCAATGATGAATGAGAGTTCCTTTCTCCCCACATCTGTGCCAACACTAGTTGTTCTTGTTCTTTTTGATGTGTGCCAATCTCTTTGGTGTAAGAGAAAGGGTTTGCAATTCACATAACTAATAAAAAAATTGTATCCATAATGTATATAGTACCCTCAAAACTCAATAATAAACAAAAAGAAAAATTGAAAAAATTGCCAAATATTTGGACAAGAACGTCATCAAAGAGAATATACATAATTTAAACACACACAAAAAAAACATTAAGTATCATTAGGAAATTTTATGACTTAATATATATAATATATCATGTATATAATTTTAAAAAATAATTATGGAAAGAATCTATACTTCTGTAGATGTCTTAGTCATCTTCAGAGCAAACTAAAGTATGCACCTATCTTATATATGAACTCTCTCCTTAATAATTTACTTAAAAGACTCCTCATTTGAACATGAACTATGTGTTGGAAATAAACTTCTGGTCTAATGGTTGGGTATAAAAGACCTAATGGTGGGTCATGCATACATCCATATAAATGCTTGTTCTTTCATCCCTTCCTCAGTTGCCCTTGCTTGCTGCCACAAAATTTTTACTTCATCAGCTTTAACTCTCCTTTCAAGTTTTGCCTGTGTTTCTCCTTTTTCTTAAATTCCATTTCTGCCACCATGCCTAGACCAATGTCATTCAAACAGACTGTGCTGGCAGGCTCTCCCTATGATCTAAATTGATGAGGGTCAAAAGTGACAAGACTTTTATCTGTGGCGGATAAAATTGTGACAAACATCCATAAAAATCCTCCCACCACAATTTCCTATTTAATTATCAACAGCCCCTTAGCCAGTTCTTGTGAGGGATATTTGGTCATCACTAAATTTTTTAAAAATTTTTATTAGTGAAACACCATGAGGTACAGTTGTAGACTTACAAATTTTTGTGCTTGGGTTTCAGTCATACAATGATTGAGTACCCATCCCTCCACCAGTGCCCATTCTCCACCACCACTAATCCTATAGACCGAACACGATTGCCACTCAATCACTAAATTTTATTTATATTATAACATGAATTTTAAAAGAAATGCTCATTTTCTCTTTTCCTCATTATTTTTATGTGTGTCCAAAATGCAAGAGATAAACCTAAAGGTGAGTCTTGAGTTTCTTCCCCTTTTCTTAAACTTTTATCCACCCTGATGTGGTATGAAGAAGAGGGTCAGAGCGTGTAGGGTGTTTGCCTTGCACGCGGCCGACCCGGGTTCAATCCCCGGCATCCCATATGGTCCCCCGAGTACCACCAGGAATAATTTCTGAGTGCAGAGCCAGGAGTAACTCCTGAGTATCACTAGGTGTGACCCAAAATGCAAAAAAAATTTAATTTTTTTAAAAAGATGTCAAAGAAATTAGACTCTTAGAGGAGTTATTTTTTAGATTCACATTATGGATACTTATCCTTTTGTTCTCATGGATGGAGATTTTATTTTATTTTAGATTTAGGTGCTTCACTCAGCGGTACTCAGAGCTTTTTCTGACTCTATGCTCAGTAGTCACTCCTGGTGGTATTGGGGGACTATATGCAGTACTAGATATAGAATTGTGATGTTCCACATGCTAGGCAAGTGCTTACCCCTGCACTATCTCTCTAACCCTAACTGAAAACATATTTTAAAATGTGATTCAATTTCCACTTTTGTAAGAAGTGTCACATTTGTATTTAACAGAAGAGCCTGATGTTGCCCTTCGCTAACAGATAAATTTTCCCTTCTGAAACTTTGAGACATTTTGAGTAGGACAAAACTGAACATAAAAAAGTTTTAATATATATTCTCCTCTCAGCATCTTATGACCTGTACAAACCATGGATTATTCCTTGCCACTGTGGAATGTGCTGGCTGAGCAATTTCATAAAGGAAGAAGAGTCAAGATTTTATATATTTATTTTGGAGCCAAGCTTTTAGAAAAGATTTTCTGAGGTTCCAGAATGAAGATTAGAGTCACTGGCCCAAGGTGTTAATGCTGTCCTTTGACCCCAGTTGAGAGCATGCTATGAGAATGTCTACTGTTTCCAGTTACACACTGAGTCATTGAGGACATCAATATCCAGGTATTCAAAGTCAGTCCAGACCACAGCAAGATATACATGGATTCGAGGGAGCCAAGATGAAGAGAAAAGTCTCACACAACTCTTGACCTACCTTTTCAGTATAAAGCAAAGAATAGGGTTATGAGGAATGTACTAAAATTTGAGAACTGAAGGGTATGAACCCTTTGTGTCCACCACAGGAGCTATACCTATTGTCCTGATACCCTTCTTTCTGGTGTTCACTAAGTTCTGGATGGTGTCTTTGCTCGCATTGACCTGGCTCGCCTATGATTGGGACACCCACATTCAAGGTAAAGGTCAGGGCCGGGGAGTGGAGGGTCCTTGTCTTACCAAAGATGGAATTATAGGGAGAGGGCGGTGGAGGGAAGGAATGAGAGAGGCAGAGGGAAAGAGGGTAGAAAGAGGAAAGAAGGGGAAAGGGAATGGAAAGGTGTAAGGGAAAGTAGTGGGGAAATAGAGAGAGGGAGAAAAGAAGATAAAGAGGGCAATGGGGAAAGGAGAGAAGATGGAGTGAAGTTCAGCAGAAGGCAAAGTCCCCTTCTAGGGCCTCATAAAGAATTAAAATGTCGGAGTTTCTGGGTAGATTTTCCCAGCTTCAGGCTGTTTCCTTGAATTGGCCCAAAGAGCAATGGGCTTCCTTATAGCTTCTTGAGGTTTGGATTTATAGGAATATATATATATATATATATATATATATATATATGTAGCTCCGTGCCTTAGAAATATGAAATTGTGAGAATATGGTAGTTCCTGTGACCTGAAGATTATAGAAGAATTATTCACCTCTGAGAAAGGTAGAGGTATTGGCAATATCCTACCTTCTCTTTCCTTCCTTTTTTTTAATACTCACAGGTGGTAGGCGTTCAGCTTGGGTAAGAAACTGGACCCTCTGGAAGTATTTCCAAAATTACTTCCCAGTAAAGGTAAATAACCTTCCTCTGGGTGCCTTTGGTTCCTGTTTCCCAGATACTTTATCCCCACTCAGTTTTATGTTTTCAAAGACTTTGGTTATCAGCATGATGTTCCAGGTCTAGAGGAATCATATAGAGAAGGGTCTCTAGAGAGAGGGAAAGGTGGGAAGATGGTTGAATTGCAATAAATACTGACAGAGACAAACCCAGATTAGCCCCTCTGAGTATCTTCTCTTGATCACTTGTCCGGTTGTTCATCAATTTCTCGAGCGGGCGCCAGTAATGTATTCATTCATCCCTGTCTCGTGATAGTGTAGCCCAATGGCATATTGGGAGCTCTTTCAGGGTCAGAGGAATGAAAACCGTTATTATTACTTTTTTGGCATATCGAATACAACACGGGGAGCTTGACAGGCTCGGCTGTGCGGGGAGGATACTCTCGGTAGCTTGCTGGGCTCTCCAAGAGGTATCATAGCCCTTGGAAATCCTATGACAGTGATGACACTCCAAAGAATAGAGATTTGAGGATCCTTAGGGGCAACACATACTACATGCTAAGATATGAGTTCACACATCCTCTCCTTCCTATCCACTTCTATGATTAAATCTCCTTTTAACAGCTGGTGAAGACCCATGATCTCTCACCTGATCACAACTATGTAATTGTGAACCACCCCCATGGCATTGTCTCTTATGGTGCCTTCATCAACTTTGCCACTGAGGCCACTGGCGTTTCTAAGATTTTCCCAGCTATCACTCCATCTTTAGGGACCTTGGAAGGGATCTTCTGGATCCCAATTGTGCGAGAATATGTGATGTCAATGGGTGAGTAGAAGAAGTCATTCTATTATCTAACCTACCTCAGACTACACTCCATATATGCACAATCAGTTTACTATCACTCCCTGCTGAAAGAGGGCTTCAGGTCAAATTAATCCACAACACAATAGGTCAATAAGCAGGGGCATGTAGACAAGCATCAAGTTCACCCAAGATCTGTGAAGCCGGGTTTCTTTAGGCAGCAGATTAAGTTATAGAATTCATACACATTGACCATAATACTTTCAGAGGAGGGCAGAGAAGTGCTGGAGTCAAAGTCAAAATGGAAATTAAAAACAAAATCAAAAGCTAAATAACAAACCTAAATGTAGGGAATATCAGACATGAATGGGGCAGCTCACATGAACTTTGCCAGATTATTTCTGCGATATCTATCAGTTGGCTTATTTTAGCCAGTCATTTATATGGTAGATGTTATCTCAGGTCATTTTAAAGACATTTTAAAGTCTCACAAACTTGGTGGTACTCTGCTGACCCATGGCCATCCTCTGAAAGCCTCATCAAATTTATATGATATGTTAAGGGATAAAAAATAAGCATCAGAATCCAGGACAACTTTCCCAGACCCAACTTCAAGCCACAGTGATATGAATACTCACCTTTCTGGATTCCAAATAAAAACTTTAAACAAACATTAAAAGGTCAGGTGAATTTGCCTGAAGTCTCCATGTAGAAGCACTAGAGTTCTAGAACATGCTTCTGCTCATCTCTGAGATTGATATCAACCTGGAGCAGCAGTCTTTCTCAGTGACTGGGGCCTGGAGACCATTTGTGTCATCCTGGAAAGAATAGAAGGTAAGGAAAGGGCAAAGACAAAAAACAGAAGTGAGGAAAGGCTCACTTGTGGTTGTTATTGAGAAGCAGGTGTCACCCTCATTCCATGATTCACATGTATTTCAGTTTGGCTTTGGTAGGTTCTTTACTCTCAGTTTGGCTTGAGTATGTTCTTTACTTTGCTTACTCTCCACAGACTCCAGCACCTGGCTCTCCTGTAGCAAGAAGGTTAAGAATAAAGCAAATTGGTGGAAAGTGCTGATCAGTAGAGGGAGGGGACAGAACTTTGTAGAGTCTCCAGCACTGTCAGATTGGAGAAAGTAGAAGGTAGCTATGGTTCATTGATAGAGAAGGGAGGGTTGGCTTTAACATTATTGAGTTAAGAGAAAGTGAGCAGAGGAACTCAATATAGCCCTAACTCCAGTAGTAATACAGATATCCAAGGCAAGAAACTGACCCAATGGACCTCAGACTAGGGCTAACCCAGTCTGTAAAGCTCATGTGAAAGACAGAAGAGTGAAAAATCACAAGTTGGGAAACAGAAGAACCAAAAGGAAAGCCTGAAGGACCCCCATCATCCACTCTCAGGAACGATGTTTGTTATGCCACTTGACTCTTTGGTTTCACAGGAGTACGCCCAGTGAGTGAATCAGCCTTGAGCTATTTTCTGACCCACAAAGACTCAGGCAATGCTGTGATTGTTGTGGTGGGTGGAGCTGCTGAATCTCTTTTGTGCCGACCTGGAGCATCTACCATCATCCTTAAAAATCGCAAAGGTTTTGTGAGGTTGGCACTGAAGACAGGGTGAGTCCATAAGTTTTAGTGTCCTATCATCAAGAATGCCATAAATCCTCTGGGGCATGCTTCCCTCTCTTAGAAAACTGTAAAAAGGAACTCCCTCCACCCTCACTGTTACTGCTTCTCTCTATTTACTCATTTATGCTTTAAGGGTATTGGGATCACCAGAGACATTTTGGTGGGTTCTTTGCTTACATAGAGTTGGAAGTCATTTATTTTCTGCCCATTATCCTGATAGGCTGGGGTCTTTGGGAAATGAAACTTTATATCAAATTATTACATAGAATTTTGATGCTATAGGGCTTACAAAGATAAATAAGGTATGTTACTGTCTCCAAGGATATTATAATCTGGTTTGAGAAATAGAATATATTCAATTCAATTTTTTAGTAATCAAACATAATTAACAGGCATAATGCCAAGTGTCAAGGATATAAAAATAAATTAGACTTGGTCTTTGCCTTTAAAGAACTTACAGTCCAGTGGAGAAATACAGATAAATGCAAAATTACAACATCTACCCAGAAATCAAGCACTCACTATCTTGACTAACATCTGTTCATTTAATCTAACATCATTTCTTCACTGGATTATTACAAAAATTCCTAATTTCATTCTCTGATTATGTCCCTGCCTTCACCACATCCAAGACCGTATTCTTAACTGTAACTAGAATGATCCTGATCAACATGTCATATCATGTCTTTATTCTAAATGACCCAACAGCTATCTCTCTCCCTCTCTAAGCAAAAGTCGAAATCTTTCCAAGGGCCTGCTAGATCCTAAATATTTTAGTTCTTTTAACCTCTCAAACATCATCTCCCGCTGATCTTCCCCTTGCTCACTCCATTAGAACTATTTCCTGTTCCTAATATAGGTCACAAGCTCCAGCCTTAAGGGGATGTCTTCCTGAAACATTATTTCTTTTAAAAACCCTTTTTAGCTCATTCCTTTAACTCTTCAGTTGTTTGCTAAAATCTCTCTTATGAAGAAGAGAGATTGCACTTATAATCTTACATATCATGAAATTATATAGTTCCTATAATTGCGTATTGTAGTGCTTACATCAATAAAAGAGTAGTACTGCACTGTGTAGCACTGTCCTCCCATTGTTCATCGATTTGCTTGAGCCGGTACCAGAATCATCTCCATTGTGAGACCTGTTGTTACTGTTTTTGGCACATTGAATTTGTCATCGGTAGTTTTCTAGGCTTTGCCATGTGGGTGGTATACTCTGGGTAGCTTGCCAGGTTCTATGAGAGGGGCGGAGGAATTGAACCCGGGTCGGCTGCGTGCAAGGCAAACATCCTACCCGCTGTGCTGTCACTGTGCTGTCACTCCAGCCCTTAAAAAGTAATGGCCAGAAAAATAGTACAGGTTTCAGGGTGCTGTCCTTGCACAAGGCTGTCCCAGGTTCAATTCCTGGTACCCTATTCGGTACCCTATATGCTGCTATGAGTGACTCCCTGAGCACATGACTAGAAATAAGCTCTGAGAACCATAGAGTGTTGCCTTAAACCCAAAATTAATTAATTGAAAAAAGGTAAGTCCGGGGTCAGAGGTATAGTACAGTGAGTACTACTGGACTGCTTGCCTTGCACGCAGCTGACCTAGGTTTGATCCCTGGCATCCCATTTGGTCCCTGAGCAGCACCAGGAGTAATTCCTGAATGGAGAGCCAATCGTAACCGCTGAGCATTGGTGGGTATTGACCAAGAAACAAGAAAAGAGGTAAGCTCCATAAGGATAGAGAAATTTTTTAAATCTGTTGGGTGATTGCCACTCTATGCCTCTTTTGCAAACCACAACACCCAAAAGGAGAGAGAGAACAAAAGGGAATTCCCTGCCACAGAGGCAGGGGGAGATGGGGGAGATGGGGGGTGGGAGGGATACTGGGATCCGTGGTGGTGGAAAATGGGCACTGGTAGAGGGATGTGTACTTAATGATTGGATAATTGAAACCCAAGCACAAAAATTTGTAAGTCTACAACTGTACCTCATGGTTTGTGACTAATAAAAGTTTTTTTAAAAATCTGTTGGGCTTATTGTTGCATCAACATAGCTTAAAAGCACAGTGATAACACCTACAAGGGATTCAATATTTGTTGAATTAATAGCTTGTTATAACAGAGGCTTGTACAGAGTGCTATGAGAGTATCAACTCATAGAAAGACTTTGATCCATTATAGTAGTGGATGACATGATGACATCTGAATTGTGAACTGAAATATTAGTAATATATGCCAGTCAGAACAAAAAGGGAAAAAGCATTCACTAAGGACTACAGAAAAAAGCATGCCAGAGCTAGATGAATTAAACACACATCTCCCACTCTTTATAGGCTTTCTGTCTATGAGGAGTGAAAAATATAAGGAGATAACTATAATACAGGGTTGGGGTACTGTTAGTGTAGGAGAGGGAAGCTCTAGATGAGGAGTAGTGTATAATGCACACTGCGGTGGGAGGATTTGGAGGTGGGCAAGAAAGTTTTTCAAGGGAATAAAATTAGAGCTGAGGGGCTGGAGCCGTAGCACAGCGGGTAGCACAGGGGCTGGAGTGGTAGCACATTTGCCTTGCACGTGGCTGACCCGGGTTCAGTTTCCAGCATCCCATATGGTTCCCCAAGCATCGCCAGGAATAATTCCTGAGTGCATGAGCCAGGAGTAACTGCTGTGCATCGCCAGGTGTGACCCAAAAAGCAAAAAAAAAAATAGAATTGAATATTAAAGGGGAAAAATAGAATTAGCAATAGAATTAACTACCTGAAGGTGTATAGGAAGACATTTCCAGCAGAGGCAGCAGAAAGTACAGACAGAAAAGAGAAAACTTGGCCGACTAACTATAGTCAAGTAGATTCTAGAGAAGGGTGGGGAGAGGAGAAAGTAGAAAGGTAGCTGGACTAGAGTACCAAGGCCACACTAAGCATCATAATACAAAGATGTTTGGGGACAAAGAAATAGTAAAAATATTAAGGCACTTACTCTGCATGCAGTTGGTCCTGGTTTGTATCCATGGGGGTGGTGCACTATATGTGGTCTCCCAACACTGCAGGGAGTTACCCTCGAACACAAAATTGGGAGTAGCCTACAAGTACCACCAGACGTAGTTCCAAAAACAAAAGAAAAATGAAAAAACGAAAAGTGTCAAACCTTGAAAGAGTTCTAAAGAGAAGAGTGGCATTAGAAATGCAGGCAGGGCTGGAGCAATAGCACAGCGGGTAGGGCGTTTGCCTTGCACGCAGCCAACCTAGGTTCGATTCCCAGCATCCCATATGGTTGACCACCCCGAGCATCGCCAGGTGTAATTCCTAAGTGTATGAACCAGGAGTAACTCCTGTGCATCGCCGGGTGCGACACAAAAAGAAAAAAAAAAGAAATGCAGGGATTTTGGGTATTTTGGGGCGGGGGGCAGAACTACATCAGACATTGTACAGGGCTGACTGCTGGTTCTGTGATCAAATATCATTCCGGACAGGGCTCAGGGGACCATATACGGTGCTGTGGGGTGGAACTTGGGTTGCCGCATGCAATGCAAGGGCTCTATCCACTGAACTATAACTCTGGCCCCCTAAAAGATATAGTTCTAGAAAGATTAGCTGGATACTGTGTGCAATAAAAGCAGTTAGATGGACTAAGATTAGTTACTCCTAACAAAGGACAAAAGATACCAGCAACCTGCAAAGGGTGAATTGGGATGGAGAGTGGAAGATTTCAGGAATGAGACACAAGCTGGAGATGTTTGGGAACTTAGGCTCTTGACTTTAATTAATAGGGAGATTGAAAATATTTTCCACCATGGAGAGTGTTCATGAGAGAGCTTCCTGAAAGAACTTATACTTCCACCTTTCTATTTACAGAGCATATCTTGTCCCTTCCTATTCCTTTGGTGAGAATGAAGTTTACAATCAAGTGACTTTCCCTGAAGGCACGTGGAAAAGATTTTTCCAAAAGAAATTTCAAGATACATTTAAAAAAATCCTGGGACTAAATTTCTGTACTTTCCATGGCCGGGGGCTCACTCGAGGATCCTGGGGCTTCCTGCCTTTCAATAGACCCATTACAACTGTTGGTGAGCTTTTCAGTATCTCTAGACTATACTGGACCTCCCCATTCCCCTCACTCCCCCCAGATTGACCCACCTCTTCCTCCCATAGTCATCCATCAAGATCCAGGGGATCCAGCATATAGCTGGGATGGGCAGTGTTAATTACGGAGGGTGTGGTTGACAGTAGGGTAGGGAGGACAACTAAACAGATAAGAATTGTGGCTATTCCTGGGTGGGACACAGTTCAACACCTGCCAGAGAGCATTATTATTCACATATATTCCTTGAGTGCTCTTTTTTCCTCTTTGGAACCTTTATTTTTATTTTAATTACTTATTTTTTAATTTAATTTTTATAAAGTAGTTCGCAATATTTTATTATGTTTAATATTCGAACACCAATCTCACCACCATTATACCTTCCCACCATCATAGTTTGAATGTTTCCATCCCAAATCCCAACCCCTGCCCCAAAGCAGAACCTAAATAATTTATTTTGTATTGTTTGTTATGAATAAACCATTGAAAACTCTCCAAAAAAACTTTCCTTAGGGGAGAGTATCTGAAGACTGTTATATTTCACCCAGGAGCCATTAAGCTCTTCTATAAGAGAATATTAATATGTTGTTAGAGAGTTGAGCCTTGTGTGGATAGATAGATAGATAGATAGATAGATAGATAGATAGATAGATGGATAGATAGATATAAAAATATTTTCCCTCTAAGATTGGTTGCCTTCCACTTTAAACCCCATCTAATATGGCGTGCTACTCGTGAAATATGAGTGGTGTGAGGTATGAGATGTTGCATGGTCCAGGAATAGGTTTACTTGTGGGTGAGGCTTGGCCCAAGTGTGTGGAGAGCAGCAGTGAGTATGGCAGGGGTTGAATTCTGGAGGATTTTAGCTGCTGGGGCAGGGAGGGGCCTCACCTGCCGCTCACCTGGTCTGGCGGCATGACTATGGTGAGTCGTTTTATGCTCTATTCTGAGAGAAGTACAATGAGTCTCTGGATCTTAGCCATTGAGGGGATTATGTGGCACCAGCAAGAGGTGGCTTATGGGTGTTACTGCCAAGTTGCTGGAAACAGGGGGATGGGGGGAGTTCACCCATTACCAGTTCCATTGAACCTGTAGTTTTCAGTCACAAGTCCTGCATACCTGGGGTTTCTGTATATTATTGAGTGCTCTTCTAAACTTGCTGCTAATTTGCATGAGCATTCATGAGATTAGATGTTTAGAAGATATGGATCTGGATGGGGCTAGACTGAAGGAAAAGAAAATAAAGGAAAGAGACCTACATAGTGAGTTTCACTTTGTGGCACTCTGAGGAATTAGTTTGAGTTGGGAACACTTACCTCTTCTCCTTTCTTATCTCTTCTCCTTTCCCATAGTTGGGGAGCCCTTACCAGTACCCAGGATTAAGGACCCGGACAAGAAGACTGTGGACAAATACCATGCACTCTATATCAGTGCCCTGCAAAAGCTATTTGACGAGCACAAAGTCCAATATGGTGTCCCAGAGACCCAAGAACTGACAATCATATAACAGAAGCTGGATCGCCCCCATTACAAATGTCCCGAAGTCATGAAGTATCTGAGTAGGAAGAATTCTGGGAAAGTTAGGATCTCATGGGTAAGAAAAGAAGTTAAAAAAAGCCAGAAAGTACTTGATAAATCAAATTTGAAGGGAAACAGTAAGAGAGATGGGGAGAATAAAGCAACAACCCAATTTGACAAGCAGTCCTATGAGTCCATAGGTTTGGGTTTGTTTTGGTTTATTTGTTTTGCCCTTTGACTTCAGTCAACAAGCAAGTTAGCAACAAAGAGGTTTTTAATGTCAGTACTGGGGGATACAGTGTTGCTGAGGACCTCCAGTGCCCTATTCAGTGCTGCTGGTATGGATATGCAATGCCCGTATTGTCTCCTTGGCCTAATTTTTATTTATTTGTTAAATATTTTTAATTGAATCACTGTGAGATAGCACTGTCCTCCCGTTGTTCATCGATTTGCTCGAGTGGGTACCAGTAACATCTCACAACAAATTGTGAGACTTGTTGTTACTGTTTTTGGCATATCGAATACGTCACGGTTAGCTTGCCAGGCTTTGCCGTGCAGGCGAGACACTCTCGGTAGCTTGCTGGCCTCTTCGAGAGGGGCGGAGGAATCGAACTTGGGTTGGCCATGTTGGCTGCGTGCAAGGCAAATGCCCTACCCGCAGTGCCATCCCTCCAGCACTGTGAGATAGATCCTTACAAAACTGTTTATGACTGGATTTCAGTCATACAGTATTCCAACACCCATCCCTCCACCATTGTACATTTCCCAGTACCTGTGTCCCCAGGTTCCCTCCCTCCCACCATCCCCAACCCTCCCACTCCTGCCTGCCTCTATGACAGGGACTTTTCTTCTCTCTCTCCGTCTCTCTCTCCCCCCACCCTTTTTGGGCATGCACAAATTCCATACAATTTAGTAGGGGAGGGGTTGAATGAGAGGAACATTGGGGTTTTGGTTGATACAGTGGTGATATGTGTGGTGTTACAACAATGTGCATGAGAAATCATCAGTAATAAAATCTTAATCACAACTGACATCACAGAATCTCAATCAATTTATTTTTCATTGATAAAAATAAAAATACCTGTATACAAATTATCACAGCATAATTTATAATCGCAAAAATGGAAGCAACTCAGAGATGATTTAATGAAATAACAAATAAAATGCAGTATATTTGTGCACTGAAATATGATATTCCATAAAAGGAATGACTTGTACATGCTATCACATAGATGAAACTTGCAAGCATTATGCTAAGAGAAAGAAACCAGAGACAACTTCTACAAATTATTCCATTTCTGTAAAATGTCAAGAATAGGCACAAAGAAAGGGAGGGGTTAGGATTGGTAATTGCTAAAGATGGGATTGGTAAGAGGGGAAAATGGAATGAGTGACTGCTAATGGGAATGGGATAACTTTGGGGAGTGATTAAAAAGGTTGTAGAATTAGTAGACCCAGGTTCAATTTGCAACACCACCAGAAATGACCCCTAAGCACAGAGCCATAACCTGAATATCTCTGAGTGTTCCCCCAAACCCAAAATAAATGTTTTTTAAACTGGAAAGGGTAAGGCTGTCAATTTATGAAGAGCAAATGGAAACTGAAATTGGAGCTTCAGTGAGGGTAAAAATTACATAGAACTGATGCCTATTAAACAGGTTTAGATTCATGAATTCATTTGTATTTATTTACCAATTTATCCATTTAGGTTTGGGGAACACACCAGAGGTGCTCAGGGATTCTTATTATAACATGAAATTATATATAATTATGCCATTAATTGGTCACTTTCTGGAGGATAATACTCATTGTCTCGAAAATTAAAATAATAAAATAATTGAGAATGTATACTACTATTTTCCGTTTAAGAATGGACGCAGCCAATCCTGTTTTGATCCTCAGCACCACATATGGTCCCCTGAGCACAGAACCAAGTGTAGCCCCTGAGCACCACCACGCATGGTCCCCTAAACTTCCCCCAAGTAAAGGATGGTACAACTGGGAGACCATGTAGTATAGGTGCTAGCAACTGTTTTTGTAAATCAAGTTTTATTGGAACAACAAAAAAGAATTAATAGTGATGGTGACACAACCTTGTGAAGATACCCACTAAATTTTGTTTTTTAAAATGGTGACTGCGAACTGCAGACCAATGGAACAGGGTTGAATACACTGACATCTCCCCTCAATCGTATGATCATCTAATATTTGATAAAGGTGCAAGTAATGTGAAGTGGAGTAAGGAAAGCCTCTTTAATAAATTGTGTTGGCATCACTGGACGGCTACATGCAAAAAAATAGGCTCAGAACTCTGCCTAACACCATGTACAAAAGTAAGATCAAAATGGATTAAAGACCTCAACATCAGACCAGAAACCATAAGGTACATTGAAGACAAAGTTGGCAAAACCCTCCATGACATTGAAGCTAATGGTATCTTCAAAGATGCCACGTCACTGGCCGAGCAAGTGAAAACAGAGATAGATAAATGGGACTATCTTAAACTAAGAAGCTTCTGCACCTCCAAAGAAACAGTGACCAAAATACAAAGACAGTCTACAGAATGGGAAAGGATATTCACCGAATACACATCTGACAAGGGGTTGATATCAAGGATATACAAAATACTGGTTAAACTCCACAAGAAGAAAACATCCAACCCCATCCAAAAATGGGGCAATGAAATGAACAGAAACTTTCTCAAAGAAGAAATCCGAATGGCAAAAAAGCACATGAGAAAATGCTCTAATCATTAATCATCAGGGAGATGCAGATCAAAACCACAATGAGATACCATCTCACACCTCAGAGACTGGCCCACATTCAAAAGAGCAAAAGCAACCGATGCTGGCGTGGATGTGGCAAGAAAGGGACACTCCTTCACTGTTGGTGGGAATGTCGACTGGTTCAGCCCTTCTGGAAAACAGTATGGACGATTCTCAAAAAATTAGAAATTGAGCTCCCATTTGACCCAGCAATACCACTCCTGGGAATATATCCCAGAGAGGCAAAAATGCATAGTCGAAGTGACATCTGCACTTGTTTGTTCATTGCAGCACTCTTTACAATAGCCAGAAACTGGAAGAAACCTGAATGCCCAAGAACAGATGACTGGTTAAAGAAACTTTGGTACATCTACACAATGGAGTACTATGTAGCTGTTAGAAAAGATGAAGTCATGAAATTTACATACAAGTGGTACAATATGGAAAGTATCATGCTAAGCGAAATGAGTCAGAAAGAGAGGGATAGACATAGAAAGATTGCATTCATCTGGGGGATATAAAGTAACAAAGTATGAGATTAATACCCAAGAATAGCTGAGATCAGCACCAGGAGGATTACTCCATAACTTAGAGGCCAGCCGGGTATCCTAGAGGAAAGGGCAGTTCAGATAGAGAAGGGAGCACCAAATAAAGGATGTTTGGAGGATCCTCCCAGGAGGGGAGATGCATGTCGAAAGTAGACTATGGACTGAACATGTTTGCCACTCAATGCCTCTTTTGCAGACCACAACACCCAAAAGGAGAGAGAGAACACAGGGGATTGCCCTGCCACAGAGGCAGGGGGGGATGGGGGGATGGGGGTGGGGGGATATTATCCATGGTGGTGGAGAATGGGCACTGTTGGAGGGATGGGTATCTGATCATTGTATAATCGAAACCCAAGCACAAAAAATTGTAAATCTACAACTGTAATAAAAAAAAATGGTGACTGCGTCCACACCTGAAGGCTGCCACCTAGTTAAGAAAAAGTTACTTCAGATGTACCTTCCTGATAAGAATGCTGAACGCCCTGAACAAACATGGTGATGATCTCTTGGCACCTGTACTGCAAACAATAATGCATAAAAGGAGATATTTAGATTGAGAAACAGAGAGACAGAGAGAGAGAGAGAGAGAGAGAGAGAGAGGAGAAAGGTGGTGGAAAGGAAACTGGGGACATTGGTGGTGGAAAATGTACACTGGTGGAGGAATTGATGCTGAACATTGCATGGCTGAAAACCAATCATGAACAGCTTTGTGGTGATCTATCTCATGGTGATTCAATTAAAAAAATGAAAGAGACAGACATAGAAAGATTGAATTCATCTGGGGAACATAAAGTAACAAAATAGGAGACCAACACCCAAGAATAGCCAAGATAAGTACCAGGAGGTTTACTCCATGGCTTGGAGGCCAACCGCACACGCTAGGGGAAAAGGCAGCTCAGATAGAGAAGGTAGCACCAAATAAAGGGTGTTGGTAGGATCCTCCCAGGATGGGAGATGCATGCTGAAGGTAGACTATAGACCAAACATGATTGTCACTCATTGCCTCTTTTGCAAACCACAGCACCAAAAAGGAGAGAGAGAACAAAAGGGAATGCCCTGCCACAGAGGCATGGTGGGAGGGGGGCGATGGAGGGTGGGAGGGATACTGGGATCAGTGATGGTGGAGAATGGGCATTGGTGGAAGGATGGGTACTCGATCATTGTATAACTGAAACCCAAGCACAAAAATTTGTAAGTCTACAACTGTACCTCATGGTGTTACACTAATAAAAATTAAAAAATAAATAAATAAAATATAAAATTTAAGACTCATAAATGAATCTTGGAAGAGAGCAACATGCTGCAGAGATATCTCCCAACCCCACGCCAGGCTGATTTTATCGGGGCACATCGAAGGGGGGCAGGTGTGCCTTCCCCAAAAGAACCTTGGCAGCTTCAAACCTCCAGAACCCAATCACCACTACACTCATGGCTGACCTTCACAGGCTCACCCCGAGCCTCTCACATATGAGATTGAATTTTCCGAAAGACCCAGAAATGTGGTTCTAGCAACTGAAACCTCCAGGCTCAACAAGAGTTGGGTATAGGCTCCTCCTCCCATTTCCCTGCACTTCTGGTTTCTTGGCAGTCACAACCATGAACTGCCTCTGGGCGCCATTTAACCACATTAATAGCCATGATCCAGAAACTCACAAATGAACATCAGAAGAAAGCAG